GTGCTCCAGAATGAATGAGTTGTCTTCGCAGCATGAAGCTGTTGGATTAGGAGCTTGTTGTAGCCAGTGGTTCCTTCGGAAATGCCAATGAATAGAACTAGAGGCATTTACTTCGCTCTGGTTGATTATCGGTTGTCGAGGGATTTGTCAGCTCGCTGTATAGATTGCTATCTTTAGTCTAGGCTGGGCAATTATTGATCAGTAAATCAACTTCAGATTTGGGCATGTTTAGTACCACATGGGTTTCGTTCTGTAATGTATTGGGTCATATTAGTTGTCAATGAATTCTCGATCATTGCTCATTCGTTCATTATCAATATATGAGTTTATTCAGAAGTTTCAAGCTGTATCAGTAGAAGTCAATGGATACATCAACCATCGTCAAATATGTATATTATACCTTTTAATTTCTAGGTATGGGTGCCCTCAAATGTTAATTAAGGAAGTATTTTTCGTAGCAGACCCGAGGTTTTAACAACATTTCTAGATAGCTTTGGAAGCTTTATCGAGTTAGTTACCTATTGGCAGGATCTATTCAGTTTCAATTAAGATGTGGGATCTTTGTTTGGGCCATTCATGAGGATGTTTCTGTTAGCGGTGGAGGTTCGTCATTTCAGTTAGATCTACTGGTACCTCACCCTTTGGGTAAGGCGGTGAGGAAGGAGGAATACAGTAGATCTAGGGTTGGTTGTGTGTTTCCCTTGGGGGTGTATGTGGATCGAGTAAGATAGCTTGAGAACACTTGGTCCGAATTTATTGGTATGGTTCTTATTTGGTTGGTAGACTTTGATTTGGAGCAAGAGTACAACCTCCTATCTCATTCGTTGGTTGTGTGCGACATGTTTTCCTCTAATTTTGTGTTGGTAGATATAATAGGAATTGTGTGTTATAGTAGGGTATGACTCGTGATGTATTTAATTAGTGATTGAGATGGATGTTGATTGGGTTCTTGCAAGTCGGTAGGTTGATGGTTGAGTATCTTTAGGCCCATGTGGTGCTGGTTATGAGTATTCAGGACAGTGATGGAATAGCGGCAAGATCGGTGTAGTACCGTGAGCTTATAGTTTTAGTGGATAGAAGGTGTTACGGTGTATCGTGAACCAGTGGTTGTATGATTCACATGGAAGGGAACTGGTAGTCATTTGATTAAGACTATTCGGTCTCAAATCATTAGTCTAATTGGCATGTTTGGGTGTTAGTGCATTGTTCGGAGTCGGGAGACCCAGTGACCAGCTGGTTTAGATCATGTGGACAGTAAAAGGTTGTTGGGAGTATTAATTGTGCATCAGAAGTCTCCTGCCGAATGTTTGCATTATGAACCGCATTTTTTTCCTGTGGGTTGTTTATTAGGAGTTTGGTTACCAATGTCGAGTATTGGTTCTGAAATCTCGAGTCATGAAGTTCGTGTAAATGTCTCAAGTGATTTGTCAGGTGGATGTGCACCTGAGTTGATGAGTGATTTGGATGCAACGTGAGATGCTTGGATGAATAATCAATATGCTCGCAGGGGAAATGGGTTGGTGATGGTTTGTTAGGAAGTCAAGTGTATATTTAAGGTTTTTGGGCACAATTTCCAGATTTGAGGGTTGTTGGAAATTCACGATCGGTGTCTTTTGAGTATTCTTTTTGCAGGATTTGGTGGTGTTCCTAGTCAGGGACTAGGGGTAGGTACAACATATGGATGATCATCAGACTTAGGGTATGGTTTCTGAAGTTTAGACTGATGGGTTCCTGGTTCCGAGAATTATATTGATGGAGTTGATTTGTGGTTGTAGTTTTGAGAGTTCCCGGTATGAGTGTCTCTCACTTGAAGTTGGGTCTTATAGTTCTGGTTGCGGTTGAGTATTTTTCAAGTTATTGGGTTGTTTGTTGGCAGCTGTGAGTTTCCAAGTGACCTCTTGATTTCTCTGTATAAATTCCTTGATTTTGAAGGGGGTAGAGGGAGCTTTTGGACTATGCTGACGTTAATTTCAGAGATTCTAATAACCAAGACGGATTTCGAGGACGAAAACCAGTTTAAGTGGGGGAGAGTTGTAACATCATGTTTCGAAAAGTTTCGTATTTCAGGATTGTGGACAGTAAATGGATCCAGTAAAGGCCTTGGGCTTCAAAGGAATGGGGTTTAGACCTTATTGGATGATTATAATGTTGGATAAGTGATTAAAGCCTTGGTTTATGTCTTGGAGTCAAAGGGTAAAACGGGAAAAGTGATGTTTCAGGCTTCTTTCACGAATTATGGTTTTTAGTTAGACATGTGTTAAGCCAAAACTAACTAGATAGAAGTGTGGGGCTCGTCAATACCTTTCTGTGGATATAAAGATCACTAAAAACGGAGTTGAAACGAAGAAGTTATGACTGTTTGAAGTTGGAGTGAAATTAGGTGAAAACCCGTTCTCAAGAGGTGAGAAGTAATTCTCACGACGTGAGAGTGTTCACGAGGTGAGAATATATTCTCACGACATGAGAACTGTGCAGCCCAAAACCCACAAAATTTTTAGGGTTTTGAAGGTATTTAAAGGTAAGGATTCATGTTTTAGGGTATTTTCTTAGCCTCCATCATATCTAGAACCTCTGTGGAGAAACCCCGGCTTCCATTTTCAAGATTTGAGCCTCCCCTCTCCTGTCTCATCCATTTTTTGAGTTTTTGGTGGTTTTGGAGTAATGTTTTCATGAAAGATTGATCCTTGAAGCTTGGCGATTGAAGATCTCAACTTTCATCTAAATTCTAGACCCTTGTAAGTTATAAAGTTCCAAGCTTTATTGCATATTCATCTTGGATCTAAGTGTATTTGGTGTTTTGGTCCATTTTAATGAGTTTTTAATGAGATTTGGGGATAAAGTTTGCAACTTTATTACTCTCCAAGGTCCCAAGAGCATTGTATGTTTCAGATCTGGACTCCAACACACTTTTGATCAATTTAGAATGTTTTCTTAGACCTTTTGGACTAGAAAAGTTTTGATCTTTTGGCTTCCCTTTCAGCCATGCAAGTTATCTTGGTCATTTAGGTTATTTTGGGGAAATAAAGTTTAGATCTTGAAAGTTTGAGACAATATTATGGATAAAGTTGGGAACTTTATCCATCTAAACATCATGTTGATTCAGATCTAAAGGTTGGAGTCTTGGACTTATTGAATTTAGTTGAGAAATATGCATTCTTGGTCCCTTTGAGATTTAAAGACTGGATCTTGGTTGTTTGGACCATCCTAATGGATAAAGTTGGAAACTTTATCCATTATGCAACAATTTAGGATCTAGGTAAAAAATTATGGCCTTGTTCCGAAGAGATTAAGCACTTAGTGAAGATTTTGGCCTTCAAACTAGAAGTCATGACGTAACATAGGATATGTCATGACGTGACAGTGCCCAGAGTCGCGATTGTTTTGTCGTTTCATTCTCACGACATGACCAAGGAATGGTCACGACGTGACGTTGACTTTGACTATTGACTTTTTGACCGGTATGACTTTTGGTCAAACTTGGGTAGAATTCAATATTTGACTAAGGATTGGTCTCGGTTTAGTTTTAGGAAGTTTGGATTGGCTGTTCTGATGTGGTAGTTGTTGGGCTTCTGTCGAGTGGTTCAAGTGAGTTTTCCTCACTGTACTTGTGGTTCGAAGGCACCAATGTCGGCCCACTAGCTTATGTATCCTGGTATATAGGATGATATTATGCTAGTTATATGATAGATTAATAGATCTGTATGATTACCTGTATTTTGCTGGATATGTGTTTATGTTTATCTGTTGTATATGTCGACAATATATTGTGGAGGGGTTGAGGCAGTCCTGCTTTGTGATGAAGGCCAAGATACATAGGGCGATCCGGATAGGCTGTAGGCCCTGCGAGGCGGTCCAGTCATGCCGAAGGCTCGGAGAGCGGTCCAGATAGGCTGTAGATCCTACGAGGCGGTCCAGTCAGACTGAAGGCTCATATTTGTATGTTGTTGTTTGTTATGTTGTGTGATGGTACTTTGGAGGAACTCATTAAGCTTTGGCTTACGGTTTCAGTTTATTGTTTCAGGTACTTCAAAGGATCGTGGGAAAACGAATGCGTGATTGTACACATCTTCCTGACATTGGATCTTGGGATACTCTGATTTTGAATAATACTTTGAAACTTTGGTTTTGTAAACACTTTATGGATGAAATGGGTTGTTTTTTTGAAACATTAAAATTTATTGTGATGTTTGGGATGTTACAAGTTGGTACCAAAGCTTTGGTTTGAGAGAACTGGATGAACATTCGTGTGAATCCATACTCAAACTAAGGAACTGCAACATTTTTAAAATGATTTTTAAAATTGTTTTCAAAAGTAACCACGAAAGGATGTGATGCTGCCGAAGCAAGAAAGTATACCCCAAGTTACACTGTTATTTGATATGATTTTTATGGTAGAACAGCATGCTAGTTGTAGGGTAGGGATTTTCAGGAATTGCATCATAGAATTGCATGTCTTATTCTTATAGAATTTTCTTGCTTATTTCTTTTGTAGGAACTGCATGACAGTTTTTTGTAGGAACTGCATGACAGAATTGCCTGATTCGTATAGAGTTTTCTTGCTTATTTTTTTTGTAGTTGCTTATTTTTTTTGTAGGACTCTTTTGGTGTGAACCAACTACCAAAATTATTTTTGCAGATTATCATGTCATACTACGAAAATCAAGGTTTTACCCTTGAAAGTTGGTCAAAAGAATGACCACACAAGCTCTTTCGCTTTGGATGATGCGAGGAATCAATCTTACACCCTTTAGTTTTCAACTATGAATTTGGCATTAATATTTTTTTATTAATTATATATTCCGGTGAACTAAAAATCATTGTTGTGTGAACTGTACATGTTATAGTCATATGGATGTAGGTGAAACCTGCGAGTTAGGACTTTAAGATGAAACAATTACTTTTACAAACCTAGAGGAAATCACTAAATAAAAGTTTACAAGACAATACACTCGAAACAACTGTTTGATACAAAAACGACCATGGCCATTCTTTGTGGAGGTTTAAAGCAAATGCACTCTCTCGTTTTCAAAGTTGTGTAGTCTAAGAAAGCTAGGACGATAAGCCAATCCGTCGATGAAGCCGCCAAATATTTCAGTGTCTACAATTGTTTTCCTCCGAGGACAGTAAATGAACATAGCGCCAAGAGAAATTCCCATCAAAATAGTTCCATCTTTAAAACCCTCAATTAGATATATGGTTTGGTCCCACAGCATATTAAGAACAGGGCTGATAATTTTCTCAATCACCAACTCTTTATGCCAAGAGTTATTGATCCCATATTCCTTCATCACCCAAACTATCAATTTAGACTCGTAGGTATCACATTGACATAAACAACCATTTATGACTCCCAAACTTGGGAAATAGTCCCCACTTTCGGAAGGAGGAGACGGGAACAACTCAAATGTCTCCTTATCAAAATCAAAAGCATAAATCTTATTAGGGGAATCCTGGAAAAGAACAGTCCAATGAGCATGGCCATTAAAAAATGACCCATCGAATCGATTGTCCAAGTATGGTACATGGCCTAGACTTCTCCATTGGCCAGTGCCAAGGGTGTAGACCTCAGCTTCTAATAGGCTTGGCCGAGATGTTGAGGTAGGATCATGAGGTATATTCCTTTGGAAAATCCGTATCACTTTGTATTCCTGTGTAAGTGAGCCAACACCAAAAAAATAAACAATCTCTGCAATACCTTCTCTATGGTTAAGGTCAAGGCTCGTGATAGGGTTATGTAGTAAATGGTGATGATCGAGTTCATCTTCAACTTCCATCAACCTCAAAATGCCTGTGACTGTGTCAATTGCCTTTTCTTCTCTGGAATAATGATGGATTATGAAGCCTGCGGGTGATCTGGCAGAGAGGTGAAGATTGGCAAAGTAAGAGTCTGAAACGAGATCCAACCACTTCTTGCATACACATTTGCAATGGATGATGGTCTTCACAGGAAGTCTGGAGAGAATATCGACAATCACATGTCCCGGTAGGTCTTCCATGGATGGATCCAATAATTTTCTAGATTTTGATGGTGGCATTGCAAGATCCAAACCAATATTCAACCGGATCACAATATAACTGACATAATATAAACAAAATAAAAATTAACTAAAAGACAATTTATAATAAAATTATGAATTAACTACCAACAAACCCTAACAAAAATATTTCCTTAATCCTAAAAAACATATTGTTGCATAACCAACGATAACTAAAACTTAACACAATTACTACTAACGAAAGCTTTACCACTAGCAATTACGAGTTACCAACCCCTTAACGTCTAATAATTAACAACTAGCAGATCTGAGTTATCAAAACCTGACAAAATTCACTAGTAATATATAATAACTATCAACTAAAAAGAGTAGTAATTATTGATAACTTTGTACCTAACGAGAGAGATCAGTAGGCAAGACACGACAGCAACCTACAAAGAGGGACGAAGTCTGCAGTCTGCGGGCTACAAAAAAAAAAAAGACAGCATAAAAACAACACTAATGATTTGTACAAAACAAGAATTTTCCACATACAAAAAAAAAAGGCTGCATAAAAACAAGGATTTTTAGTTGTACAAAACCCTAAAAGCAAATCATCTAAACAATCTTTGTATTGAATTGGAAGCAAATATTAACTCTTCTTGATGAACTTGGGATGTGATGATGTAAATATGTAATAATTTTGTAGTAAAGGAAGCTCCTCATGCAAATAATAAAAAGAAGCCAATATCATATCATTTTTGAGCTTCTGGCAACGAATTAGAAAGAAAAAAAATCAACAGCAATAATCACCTAAGGAGCCAAGACAAAACAAGTTTTCAATCAAATATCTAATGTATGTCAGTCAGTCTCCAAACTATGTTTTCTATCCTAATATGTGGGTAAAGCTTCTGAATGAAGTGATTGAGAAGCCACAAGGTCTAAGCACTCTTCAATCAGCCATGTGTGTTGAAATCAACATGTTCTGCAAATACGATAACTTCTGACGAGCTTAGAAGACTGTTCTCAAATGGGGCTACTAGATACACACGAATGGCTTCTTTTCGATTCAAAAGCCACACATGGGGAATTTGCAACAGGAAATGCATCTGAGTTTGACTGTACAGTGGCGATTCAGAGATGATCCTTCTAATTGTGCACCATCCGACCAGATTCAATTTCAAGAACCCTAGCCGATTTCAGAAAAAGAAAAGAGAAAGCCGATTTCAAGAACCCTTACCTGTGGTGCGGCGTCAGCAATGAAAGTAACAACGACGGCGAGAAGCAGAGGGACGGGAGGATGAGGATGGAGGTGGCAGAGGTGTGGTGTCTACCACACTTTTTCCCACAAATGTGGTTTCTTTGTCACACGTAGTGCGGATACCTTTGTGACACGTAATGTGGATACCATGACACGTAGTGCGGATATTTTTTTTAAACAATTCAATTTCAATAAAAAAAATAAATTTCATTGCTTAACAAAAAAACAAAAAAAAAAACCATAACATTTTATTATTTAAAAAAAACGTGACATTAAAAAACTCCTAAACACTTAGAAAATAAAAATAGCTATAATTTTCAACCTACAAACGTTAAAAAACACATAACACGCGAATATAAAAACTAATTAACATCGGGGGCTGAAACCAAAAGTCTCAAAAAAAATCCAAACTTATATATTTATTATTTTGTTAAATTGCCGATGTCAATTATTAATAGAAGATAATATTATATCACGAAAAACATTTATTTGAGAACATACTGAATAAAGCAAAAAGCATAAGTCGACAAAAACTTAAAGGTTATAGGCTTCTATCATTGTCATTTACAGAACATTTAATAGGAAGTACATGCAAAGACTTTTCGTTCACCGAATGGTTTCACAATTTCAAAAGTTACAAAAATAAAACACGAGCATTCGTAAATTAGAGATTGAAGCTGTTAAAAGATAGCAATCTACATACAAGGAAACCTTAGAAACGAGACGGCAACACACGATTTCTGTCAAACATTGAGGCGACGAAGAGCTAGAGTTGCCGACATTGTCCGACGTCAATTCTAAAGCGGCGACCATATACAAGAGAGACGCGGTTAGGGTTTTTTAGTTTTTACTCTTTAGGTTTCTTTGATCTACTTTTTATGGGTTTATAAAAGTCTGAATTGAGATCGAGTATTGGGCTTTTCTCTATTAAATTTAGTAAAGTTTATTTATTTATTTATTTGATATTTTTTATAGAGTCCCGATTTTTTGAAAATGAGTTAAATTTTGATATCAGTTGTTTTATTACCTTAGTAACTTCCCTTTTTTTCTTTCTCAATTTTGAAATTGTGTCCATACTTTCGTTTTTGGTTAGCATCATCTGCATCCTATTTCAATCACATCATCAAGAACCAAACTCGTCAAGATTTTTAGCAAGTTATTGGGCAAAAAAAACGGGGGGCCATGGCCTCCCCTGGCCCCTTAAAGGATCCGCCCCTGATTAACATAATGTTTTTTAACACCGACTTTCATCGCCAAAGCAATTTCAAGCTCCTTCCCGGTCATGTGATTTATGTCTAGCGTTAGTACTTTCGTGTTACTATCCCTTTGTTTACTACGCTCTCTTTCAGAATGAATTTGCAAAAATTTATCCATTCTTTCGTTTATACCCTTCACCTTGTGCCCCATCTCTTTAAAGTCATCCGAATCTACCGCTTTGTCTTTGTCTTTTCATAATGCTTTGTCCCTTCCCATTGGTCGGAAAGGTGGTGTAAATTGAACGGGTTCATCATCGTTGAGGTTGATCCAAACATGAGCATCTAATGTAGTGTGCTCGGATTCAAATTTTCTTGAGCATTTTGAACCACTATCGATATGCTTGTAAGGTTTTTTTTTCAGTTTTGGTTATCTTTCACAACATTCTTGTAACATCCATAAAAATCATGAAAATTTAAACTTTTAAAACCAACCCAAAATCATAATTGTTTAGAATATAGTTTTCAAAACATGTTTAATATCAGAGTTTTCCCAAAATCATAAATCAAAACACGAGGAGGTGCACGATCACGCATTCGCCCACCCGCGATCATCTGAGGTACCTGAAACATAACCCAAAACCGTAAGCCCAAAGCTTAGTGATTTCCCCCCAAAGTACCAACACACTAACAAATAACACATATACAATAATTGCATGCAATGGGTCCACAGCTAAAAGACTGGATTACCCATGAGCCTACATCATAAGTCTGGCTTGCCCTCGGGGCCCACAGCTTATGTCTGGCTTGCTCCCTGACCAGATTAGTGCTTGGGCTGAATACCACCAAGCCCTCAGTATGAGTTTGGCATGCCCTACACGACCCTCAACTTGTATCTGGAATGCTCATGAGCCCTGAGTATGAGCCTGGCATGCCCTACCCGACCCTCACCTCATATCTGGATTGCTCCAGGGTTTGTTGGCTACCGCACGGAAAAGTACAACCTCAACCCAACATATGCAATATGTCGACATATAACAGATACTAACATATACAGATAATCATACAGACAGTATCACAGGTAGTCCTACCGATCTACCAACTAGCATATCAAAACTAGCATGCGTATCTATCCCATACTCAACATATCAACGAATATCAGGTTATTGAACCAATGGGTCGGCCTTGGTGGCTTCGACCCGAAAATATAGTGAGGGAAACTCACCTCGCAAACTGAATAGAACTGATGAGGCCCGACTCCGAATCTCAGTTCTCTAATCGATACCTATTTCCACCAAGTGACCAATTTCATCAAAATCCTAAAATACCCAAAATGCCCTCAAGGTCAAACTTGTTCAAAGTCAAAGTCAAAGTCAACTGGTCAAACTCGCTAAGTCAACTGAGTCAACCCAGCCGAGTCAACTCAACAAGACTGACCCATGCAAGTACGTGGGGCGTACGCGAAGCCTCGCAGTTGACCATCATCGGGGTGGTTAACCGGGTACGTGGGGCGTACTCCCATGTACGCGGGGCGTAGCCTCGCAAACTCTAAAACCTCATTAAGAGCTAATGTCTTAAGCTCTTACGTCCCAACTTCATATCCATGACCAAAACACACCATAGAGTCATAAAGTTTCCAACTTTATGACTTTACATGCCTAATAAGAGCTTAACTCAAGGTCATACTCCATTAAGACCTTCTACAAGATGCATGGAGCAAATCTGTTTTCTACTAACAAGAAAACATAAACAAATATTCCTTTGCATATAGCTCTCTCCATTCATGGTTCATTGATAAATAGATTTTTCTCTACTTGAGTAACCATCCCTGGTTCTTTCTTTTGCAGCAAGGTAGATGGTAGCGGTTCGAGGATTACTTTCTTCTTATTCATGACAAAAGAGTAGGTGTTTTGATGACCATCATGCCAAACTTGTCTATCATATTGCCAAGGTCTTCCAAGCAACATATGGCATGCATCAATAGGTATAATATCACAAAGAACCAGATCTTGATAAGACTTACCAATAGAAAATGAGAGTAGGGCTTGCTTGGTTACCTTCACGTCGGATCCCTGATTTAACCATTGAAGCTTGTATGGATTTGGGTGAGATGAGGTTGGAATGTTGAGTTTATTGATAAGAGTTATGGATGCAACATTAGTACCTTCCCCTTGATCGTTCACCTTGAATGGAATATTTGTTCTCTTTGTTCATCATTAGGATCCACCTCTTTTGCATGGAGAGCTCTTCGTATCACTAGAAGCTCCCCTTGATCATGTTTAAATCTCTCTTCAAAGTAACATTCTTCATCATAGATTGACATCTCGTATTATCCCTCTTCTATAATGTTAACCTCCTCAACCTCTTTCAGTGTCATGACTCGTCGATTAGGGCATTCAGCTTGAAAGTGTCCTAAACCCTGACATTTGAAGCACTTCTTCTTCGGCGCATCAGCAGGACCTTTACCCTTCTCTTCCTTTGAGCTGTCACCTTTTGAAAGGTTTTCTTTGTAGAAAGGATTCTGGAAAGAATTGTTATACTTTGGAAATGACTTGGGGGTTGCCCTTTCTGCCTTCTTATTCCTGGTACGCTTCTCAATCTTAGAAGCTAACTTGGAAACCTCCTCAAAGGATCAGAAAGGTTGTAGTTCAAGTTTTTCAGCAATATCATGGTTCAGTCCGCCAACATAACGAGCCATAGTTTGTTCTAGTTTCTCCTGAATTCCACTATGTAACACAAGTTGTTCAAATTCATGAGTGTAATCATCGGTATTAAGATTACCTTGCTTGAAATTAGTTATCTTGATGTAGAGGTCTTGCTTGTAAGAATCTGGAAGGAATCTCTCATTGAGTAGTTTCTTGAGTTTTATCCAAGATCGGATCTTAGACTTGCCATTTCGTCCTCGCTTGGCTTTCACATTTTCTCACCATAACAAGTCATACTTCTTAAGTTTCAAAACAACCACTTTGTAACTTTTCTCATCAGAATACATTAGCTGAAAATAAACATTGATGCCCATGCATCACAAATTTTGCATATGCATTGAATCAAGATAAAAGGTATTATGGTCTTTCACTTCCATAAAAAGATAATCACCTTTACAAGTGGGTTTTGTATGCTTATGTAGGAGTTGACCTCTAAGGTCATGAGAAAGGTCCAAGTAGCAAGGGAGAGAGAGAGGGGGGAGAGAGAGGGAGAGAAAGAGAGATAGATAGATAAATAGATAGATAGATAGATAGATAGATAGATAGATAGATAGATAGATAGATAGATAGGGACGTGAGAGAGTTCATGAGAAGGGTATGCATAAGGTCTCACTTCTCTTATTTTAATGTTTTAAAAATGGGTGGTCACCCTTGCAAGTTTAAAATATCATAAAATTGGCTTTCGATTCGCGTGTCTAATTCCCGACATCTAAATATTTTTCCGAAGGAGGCGAATAATAGATTTAAATTCAAGGATTCTAAAAACTCAAACGGATTAATTTTTCGAGTTGTAGAACTCCGAGAAATCGCGTTTAAAGATTCACATCTAAATGATGTGAAACATCCAATTTTTTTGACTTCTAGAAATATTTTTATTAAAAATATTTCGAGTATGAAATCAAATATTAGACCATAGTTTGAGTCCAAAAACCCTCTCGGAATTTCCATCTGAAGTGTGCAAGTGCCTCAACATATCAAAACGGTTTATGCAGTTTAGGTAAAACTAGTGTTATACCGGTTTGGTTTCTTATAACAGTCGGATCTTTTGCATACAAACTCCGGTTTGTACGTTCTTTATATTTTCGGACTCAGGTGAACATGAACTACGAGACTAGAGTGTTTGTTTCGCTCACAAACATAAAATATGAAATTTTAGTTTTTCAGACGTATTAACTAGAGTTATAGTTTGTGTTTGTGATTTGTTTGAGATTTCCCACAATGGGAAGTAAGATACAATGTCATATCTTGTTGAGATTTTCCAAAAGATGCATTGAAACTCAATAGATCAAGTTACAAAGAGGTTTGCGGTGAACCGACTGTTACAGATTTAGACATAAATTTCAGGATGTCACAAAAGTTCACTTCCAACAGTTCAAATGGGTACACCTTAAACATCTAGCTAAAATGAAACATGAAAGTATCCTAGGTAACTAAGCTAAGTTTTCCAATCATGTATAAGAGGTTAAGAATTATAAATTCAAAATTCAAAAAGAAACAAAGGTTATGTGAGTCAACACAATCTCAACCTTACTAAAGAAATGCCCATTTCAATCCGTCTGACACCTCTACTTGACAGCAACTAAGGTGGGAAAATCATGAAAAATAATAAACACAAATAAATGTGAAAGAAAGAGAGTATAGATTTAAAATTCAGGGATTCTAAAAACCCAAACGGATTAATTTTTCACGTTGTAGAACTCCGAGAAATCACGTTTAAAGATTCGCATCTAAATGATGTGAAACATCCGATTATTTTGACTTAAACAAATATGTTTACTAAAAATATTTCATGTATGAAATCAAATATTAGACCATAGTCTGAGTCAAAAAATTCTCTCAAAATTTCCATCTGAAGTGTGCAAGTGCCTCAACAGATCAAAATGGTTTATACAGTTTAGGTAAAACTAGTGTTATA